ACCTAAAACCTAAAACCTAAAACCTAAAACCTAAAACCTAAAACCTAAAACCTAAACCCTAAAACCTAAAACCCTAAACCCTACACCCTAGCCGGGGGCGCCGCTGCCCGCAAAATGGAGGAAATATTACGGCCTCGCGGATCAAATAGGCAGCGGATGCTGGAGGTGGACGAGGGTGAGGCAGCCGCGCTGAAGGCATCGTATATATGTGCCCCCAACCACCCCCGCGTCCATGGGGTTGAAACAAACCCTAAACCCTAAACCCTAACCCACCCTAAACCCTAAACCAGGGGTCAACTTTAAACCCTAAACGCTGAACCCTAAACCCTAAACCCTAAGCCCTGACCTCTAAACCCCGGGTCCAAAACCCTGACGCCTAAACCTCGGGCCTTGAAACCTGACGCCTAAACCCCAGGCCTAGAACCCTGACGCCCAAACCCCTGGCCCTGAGCCCTGAGGCCTTAACCCCGGCTCTAAACCTACTCATTTGTTGGCTCCCTTGATGGTCCTGCCAGCAACGCAGGTCTGGCAACAGAAGGATAAGTGCGAGCAGTGGTGATGGCCCACCTTGTCGAGTTGGCAGGTGCCAAAGTTGAAGGCTGCCAGGCGCTCAGGGTTTAGGGTTTGGGGGACCAGGGGGAATGTATGCAACGGCCAATAACTGCTGATTATTCATACACGGGTTCATACCTAAACCCTAAACCCTAAACCTCCTGTGTGTCCCCAGATGGGCACCAGCCAGCCACGTCAGCGGAGGTGACCATTCAGCTCCCAACTTATACTCATTTGTTGGCTCCCTTGATGGTCCTGCCAGCAACGCAGGTCTGGCAACAGAAGGGTAAGTGCGAGCAGTGGTGATGGCCCTAAAACCCTAAACCCTAAACCTCCTGTGTGTCCCCAGCTGGGCACCAGCCAGCCACGTCAGCGGAGGTGACCATTCAGCTCCCAACTTATACTCATTTGTTGGCTCCCTTGATGGTCCTGCCAGCAACGCAGGTCTGGCAACAGAAGGGTAAGTGCGAGCAGTGGTGATGGCCAACCTTGTCGAGTTGGCAGATGCCAAAGTTGAAAGCTGCCAGGCGCTCAGGGTTTGGGGGACCAGGGGGAATGTATGCAACGGCCAATAACTGCTGTTCATTCATGTACGGGTCCATACCCTCATTTCAAAAATCACAACCCAAACCCCAAGTGAAAGGGGGACAGGTGGGGAAAAGAAGAGAGGAAGGGGGGAAAGCAAGAAAAAAAGAAAGGGGAAAAAGCAAATCGGGCAGCAGCTGAGCAGCCAACAGCCCCGAACCTTGTAGCCCAATTGTAGGGTCGGCAGCGGCCAATACCTACAAGTGTTACAACAGATAATGCAAATGTAGGCAAGTGCCATCACGTGTTGTGTCATTGGGGTATGTTCAGGTTGTTTTTGATCAATAGTCATGGTGACGTTATCAGTGTGACTACATAGTCACGTGGATGTGAACTTGTGACGTCAGCATGCCTCCAAGGGGTGAACCCACCCATTGTGCCTTCCCAACTAGCCCTGATACAGGTCATAAGCATCACATTCTACCATCCTAGCTTGCTTCAGATTTGCTGAACAGGGAAAAGGGGATCACTTTGGCGCATGCAGCACACGTTTTCAACAAGCAGGCGGCCCGCTATTTCACACACAAGCTGCCCAACATCGTAGGAAAAGCAAAAGCAGCTGCTGTCATATCAAGTGTAGTGAAAGGCCCCACTGGGTTTGTGGCCCGTCGGCCATACCGCCGCCTGTCAGAGCAGGGGGGTGTACCATTGTTGAATCATCGCAGCTGCGCGTGCAGCAACGCCGCCGCATGCGCCACACACAGCAACAGCAGTGCGCAACACCGCCACCACCGCACGCCCCACAGCCCTGCGCCACCGGTTCGGTTGAAACCTTATCCCGCGTTTGTTTTCTCGTCACAGCGCGCAGCGCTCAGATTTGGCTACGCGTCTCTCACAGCATTGGACGCAGAGGAGGGCGCCGGGCAGCTCCTGCAGCTGCACGCCGCCTGCACGCGCACACGCGCCGCCTGCACGCCGCTGACTGGCTGCCCAACGGCCTGGTGGCCAACAACACGCCTCCGCAGAGGCATGAGGTTCTGATTGAAAACTAAATCAAGCATCCTCGCTGCCCTGAATCGTGCAGCGCCACCGCAGTGGCGCCGCATGAGCTCAGCGGCGGCTCAGCAACGTCCTGTATCAACAATCCATGGGCGTGTCCAACCATACGGGCCGCGGTAACGAGTGCGTCAACAACGGTACACCGCGCTCGGTTTATCTTGCAGCGGCTGCGCGCCATTTGCGGGATGCCCAACCGGCGGCCTCCAAGTGGGCTACCCCACTGCCGTTATTACAAGTGGTGATTGATACCTCTGAGGTTTCAACTTCTTACCAGTCTACGCAGCTGTTGTTTCGGTTGCGGCTGATTGCTGCGATCTGGGCATCTTTTCATCTGTTGGGCATCGCGCAGCAAGCATGGACGACCTGCAGGTGTGGCTGATCACAATTATGCGGACTTCGCACATGGTCGCGCCACCGGGTTTGCAGGATCGACTCGGATGCCCACCAGCGCCCTGGGTTGCCTTGAGATCACGGCTTTCTTGCTCAAAAGGCAGCATGCGGCCCCGTGACGTACATCAGAGGGTGCACGCTGCGCTGTGTGTGCGAGTTGGCGGTCGACGGCGCACACGCCGCCGCCGCCGCCGCCACCACTGCCGCCACAACGGGCAGCGGCCGTGATGGCAAAGCAGGAGACAGGCGGGCTGCCACAGCGCCAAAGCAGCTGCAGTTGACGACTTGGTCCAGACTGACACATCTCCGGCCCTGCCACCTGCCCTCATCTTGCATCCAGGCACACATGCAGCAGCTGTCGCTCGACCCCGAGCAGTTTGTGGAGCAGCTGCCGGCCGGCGCCAAGGCAGTAGTAGAGGAGTTGCGCAAGCTGCAGAGCCAGGTGTGACGCGCGTTCATTGTTTGTGCAGTGCTCACGCGCGGTTGCGACTAGAGGGGGTTCAGTACAACTCGCACTGTGCCTTGCAGCTGTCTGTGTGCATGCACGCTTGCGTGCGCCTCACCAAGTCTCACGCGCACCTGTCATACGGCTCATTTTCTCCCATGGCGCTATGTGTCGAGTTACTGACTGTGCATGTGTCCCTTTTCTGACACGCGCACAGCATGACGAGCTGGAGGAGGAGTACGAGAAAGAGCGTGCTGCCCTCGATGCCAAGTATGAGCAGCTGTACGGTGAGGTGGTGGTCTTGCAGGGGGTCGCACGGGAGGAGTGCGCAGCACCGGCACCACCGTCTCTAAATGATGCCTTCATTTTTAAGGGGCTTGTGAACCCTCTGCTGTAAGACGCCCGAGAAGGGCAAGGGGGACGACCCGGGAAATGTGGGGGTCCTATCCTTTGGGCGTGTCTCATTCACGGACCCTGCGCTCCCACCCGCCGCAGCCCCCCTGTACGATGAGCGCGCCAAGGTGGTTAGTGGTGCTAAGCCCGTTCCTCTGCCCGAGGGCGTTGACGCCGCCGAGGCGGCCAAGGGCATCCCTGACTTCTGGCAAACGGTGTTCCTGCGGTGCGACGCCACACGAGACGCCATGAACGAGAAGGACGTGGATGTGCTGCGCTACCTCACAGATGTGCAGGTGCAAAGGATGATGAATTGTTGGGGGGATGTTTCTTTGAGACTTGCGCGAGAGGGCGGAGCTGGGGTAAAGGTGCGTCTACGCATGGGGTTTGCATGGGCTGGACCTTGTTGTTGGTTGTGATGGCGCGTTCGTTCGATGCTGCGGCAGCGCATATGTTTACCCCGTTGATTCCCGCTCTCCCACGGCTGCTTGGAACCCTTGCACCCTGCTCAACAGAGCGAGACGCTGCAGCCTCAGCCGCGGCCTGTGAAGGAGGCCGGCACAGCGGCTGCCGGAGAAGGCGATGATGAGGAAGAGGAGGAGGCAACGGGCGGCTTCCGCATCAAGATGACGTTTGCTGAGAACCCCTACTTCACCAACACGGTACACCACAACCAGCATTGTTGGGCGTTATCATTGCAAGCTGTGGAAATGCCAGGCAGCGGCCAGGACGCGCCTATGCTGTGTTGCAGCCATTCCTAACAACTTCCCAACCCATTCCCAACAACAGCACAACCAGCTTGTGGGTTGCACTTGCGTCCCTCACATCCTCGCCTGCTCTCTACTCACTTCCAGGTGTTGGAGAAGACCTACTACATGCTGGAGGGCCGCGATGCGGTGCTGGAGCGGTCGGAGGGGTCCAAGATTGACTGGAAGAGCGGCAAGAATGTGAGTGCATGGGGGCGGGCAATAAAGGAGCCAAAGCTCAAGGCAGCCACATTGCGGCTGCTCCTCAGGCATCATGGCAGCTCGTGCTTTCCCGCATGCAGCACTTCTCTCTTACACACTCAGCCTTGGCGCCTATGCCTAGAGGGGTGGTCAGCCGTGGATGGAACACGGCATGCGCAGCCCCACTTGAATCCGTCATCCAACAACACTTGGCTAATTTCGACACCCCCTCGGCAACCCCTTGCTTCTTATCCCTCCACCCCAGGTGACCGTCAAGTTGATGAAAAAGAAGCCCAAGAAGGGCGCCCGCCCAGACGCCAAGCCCCAAACCAAGCTGGAGCCCGTGGACAGCTTCTTCAACTTTTTCAGCCCACCCCAGGTGCGTGCATGCCCTTCCCTTCACAGCAGCAACCATATGCTCGCAAGCAATTCCCAGGTGTCGCCGGCTGCGCGAGTTTGCGAATGTGGGTGCAACCACTCAGCTCGCATGAACCGGAGCCAGCGGAGCACACGCCCGCCCCCATTCTCCTCATGCCAGGTGCCCGACGAGGATGCTGAGCTGGACCCTGATGAGGTGGAGATGCTGGAGGCTGCAATTGAGAACGACTATGACATTGGCGACACCATCCGCAGGAGCCTGGTGGGTGCCCGCTTCCGTTGACCGGCGTGCGTTCAACATCTTTTGAGGCTGGAGCCTGAAAATGCTGCCTGAGCTTTTGGGGGCGCTCGGCTGGAGCCTTGTGAAGGGGCATGAGTGCACGGCTATGCTGTAGATACTCTTGAATGTAGGTGCAGTTGGTAGCGTGCCCGCGGGGATCTGGTTTGAAACGCAGAGGACTGTGTGACAACTCATCGCTGGCACACTGAATAGGCTGGCCCTGCCGCCTAAATTTCTCTTGTCCTCACCCTGGGTTCTGCCACGCCGTCCCCTCTCATCAGATCCCCAATGCTGTGGGTTGGTACACCGGCGAGGCCCTTGATGACGAGGACGGCGGTGTCTTCATGGGTGAGTGGCCCCTGAAAACTTGTACGCCCTTCCATGAGTGCAACAACAGATGCTGCTGCACCTGGCCCCCAAGTATGGAGCCTGGGCAATCACAGGCATCATGTTGCATCGGGCGTGACCGCAGCACGTCCACTGCTGTGTGGTGGCCGCCCCGCACCGCCTCGAGGGGTCCCTCACTGCGCAGTCTGTGCCCTCCCCCCCTTGTGCAGGCGACGATGAGGACGAGGATGAGGATGAGGACGACGACGATGATGATGACGACGATGACGACGATGAGGCTCCTCCCAGGCCTCGGCGCAGGGGTTAGTAGGCGAGCATTGCAAACCGTGGGGGTTGTGGCTGTGAGGGTTGTGGTCTGCGCCGGGCTGTACACTTGCTTGACTGCAAAACCATGCTGATGGCTTGCCTGACGACGTGCCTCCGTTGACTGTTTGCAACCTGGCTTCAGGTGGCAAGCGCGCGCCAGGGGCTGCCGCTGGTGCAGCTGGTGGGGAACAGCCTCAGGAGTGCAAGCAGCAGTGATGCAGCGGCTCTGTGATATCGAGCGCCCCTCGTGCTGTTGATATCGGACAATTGGGCATGCTTTGTGAGGAAGTTTGCGAGGGAGTGCACGCAGCTTCGACCATGAGCAGTTCAAAGGGCCACCACATACCCTTCCTATTTGTTATTCGCCGTTTCTTCTTCTCCTTTGTTCAATGAAACCCTCTGCATCCTACTGCTCAAGCATCTGCATGTGCCTGAGCTGGCGCAAAGTGGGAGTAACGTCAGGCGCATTGTCGCACATCGCTTTGCGAGCAGCAGGCTGTGCTGAGTGTTAAATGTGAAACTGCAATGCGCGCTTTCATCACGGGATGCCAAGGGCATTGTACACAGCAGGGCAGCCTCCATCATGCGCATGCAGATCGGGATGAAGAGAGTGGCGGCTGCGCAGCAGCTGGAACAAGACTGGTTGTGCGCAGCTTGCCACACTGCTGCAACCCCAAGCAGCGAAAAGTAGCCACCTGCTTTCACAACATACTACATTCCTCGTAGAACCAGCTCGAGCACCTTCGCGCACTCTTGCCTCACGCGTGCTCTCCGGGCCCGCCTACACCGCATCGCTTGCATGCAGGCTGACCTCGACCTTGCCGTGCCCGGGGGCTTTGGTGAGCGCCTGAGACGCGGGGCGTGGAGCCGTGCCCGCTTTTTCGGGGTTGGGGGCATGCACCTCGCGGCGCGGCCTTCTTCCCGCGCTCGTTTCCTTGCTTCCAGCGGGTGCCACTTCGCGCCCCTTACAAGCTCCGAGTTGCTTTTGTTGCCAAGGGGTGCGGCTAAGGGGTGCTCGACCTCTGCAAGAGCCGGTCCAGCGTGCGCCACCTTTGCGCCAACGCCAACGTCTGCGCGCTGGTTGCAGCTCTCAGCTCACAGCTCACCTGCCCGTACTTACACCCTCTGATCCACACACGCGGTGATACGGCAGATGCTTTCGCTGACGCGGCGAATCAGGAGGAGGACACCTCTGGCATCGATTATGTGCACGTGAGGGTGCAGCAGCGCAACGGACGCAAGAGCCTGACCACTGTGCAGGGCCTCAAGCCCACGTACGACAAGAAAAAAGTCCTCAAGGCCCTCAAGAAAGGTGGGTAAGGGTGCTGCGTGTGTCCCTGGTCTGTGTCAATGGCAACCGTGGCGGTTGTGCACCCGTCAGTTGCAAGCGCTAGCTGCATAGGAGCTCCGCACCCAGGCTCCCCCTGCGCTGCATCAGGCACTGGACCCCAGTCACATCTGCCTGGCCCATGCAGCACGCCAGACAGATCATCTGGGTCTCAGCAGCACCAACTTTTGTGACCTGTGCTGACCCCTCTGACGCACGCTTCCCGTGCATCACACACCCCTGAAGCCTACTGCTGCAACGGCACTGTGGTGGAGGACCCGGAGCTGGGCCAGGTATGAGACACGGGACGGGGGGACAGGACTTGAACCCTGCAGCAGCATGATTAGCAATGGCCACGCACGCTCCAGCACGCGCGACGTCTTGGCTGCACGCGCTTGGCTGCTCGGCGCTACACAGCAGTGCATGGGATGCCGCTTGCGGGTGCCCACGCCCTTGTTTTCTCTTTTTCGCACCCACGTTTCCTACCGCACACCTTTCTCAGGTGATTCAACTGCAGGGTGACCAGCGCAAGAACGTACACGCCTTCCTGACTGGCGAGGGCCTGGTCAAGAAGGACCTGATCAAGCTGCACGGCTTCTGACTCAGTTTGGTCAGATTGCGGGTGAAAGTGCAGTCGGGTGGCAGAGCGCACACGGCAGCAGCAGACTCCGGGTTGAGGCAGCCGGCAATAGTTGGGCGACAGGCAGCGGCGCATGGGATGATAGTGTAAACGAGGGCGGCGGGGGCGGCGGGGGGTGCCATGTGACTGTGCTATACCACAACAGCATGTCGTAGGGTAGGGTGCACGCCTTGCTGTCGCCACACCGATGACTGCAGCAGATGGCACCCCCCTTTGGTCGGCTGCTCGTGCACTGCTGGCCAGGCTCTTCCATGCACAGCTTGCTGGCATGCATGACAGAGCACCGTCGGCACCGGTGCCAATTGAGTAGAGTGCCTGGGCGCATGCAACCACCATGCTGCCCGCACTCCTTGGGCCGGCACCTGGAGCGCATTCTCATTCCAAAAGCGCTTGCTCCTGCAACAGGGGCTAAGGCTTGGGCCAACCGGTTGCGATGCCATACCGCTTTGTTCAGCTGCCGTTTTGCCCCGCCATTGCGCCGGGCATTGCAGCCTGCTTTCCTTCCCGGATCTTGGATCTCGGATGATCATGTAACACCACGCAATCAACAATCTGCGCGTGGCATGCTAGACGCACAATGTGTTGCGCGGGCAGTGTCAACATAAGCCTGCTAAGCTCGTAGAGTGCAAAAGCAAAGGGTGCCGCATGCCCGGGCACCTAAGGGGGGGGGCGCGCGCATACAGCTCACAACCTGATTTTACAGTGCAAGGGTTGGAGTCAAATTGTGCACAGCAGGTGTACCAATACGGTTTGATGGCGCCTGTGCGGCTTGCCAAAAGGAAGGGCATGAGATGCACACTGCAGCCGGCCAGCTGCTTGCGCGGTCTGATTGCAAGAAATGCGTTGAGCAGCCTAGGCGGATAGGGAACCATGACGTGAGCACACACTCATCCCTTGTTTGCAAACCCCACGTGTGCAGTGGTGCGCGACAAGCCTATGAGGACCCATCATCATAGCTGTGCAGGCCAGCCAAATGCACTGAGTGCAGTTTTGGTCCATCATATGGGACACAAACACAAACCACCACAAAAAGGAGGCGCGCTGTCGCTGCAAGGTGCGCTGGAGAAAATGAAGGGCACGAGCCAGCCACAGGCAAGAGGGCGTGCGGCAAGACAATCACAGCTGACCATCAGCCAAGGGCCATCCAGCAGAAGTCGACAATCCGCACACTGCCCAGGACCAGGGCAGTGGTGCCTGGGACGACCACAGCTGATGCTACCAGCGTCACTTGCAGCAGCGATGCCAGCCCGACTATGGGAAGCAGCTGCGCGAGCACTGCCACCGCCCATGCGCGCTCCATCAGGGGCTTTTCTCCTGCAGGTAAACAGCGCTGCTTGACAGTGTCCAGTGCCCAGGCCGGCAGTGTGATGAGTGTGCAAAACCCAGCTGCGACAAGCGCAGCACCAGCGGCAGCGCCTGCCACGCGCGCTGCGAGCAAGCGGAGCAGGCCCGCCTCCAAGCTGGCCGCCTCGACAATGGCGCTAACCTCAACAGTCCATGGCGCAGCGCCTGAAAGCGCCACTGCAGCAGGCGCGGCCGCCCAGACTCCTCCAAATACGCCGGCGGCCACCCTCCAAAGATTTGGGTTGAGGGGGTTGACTGGGGTGCCCGCAATTCGGCCCCAAACCTCAAATGCCGTGCGGTCAGCACCACTCGTGACGCCGAGGACAGTGAAGCAGAGCGCCATGAACACTGCCGTTGCACTCAGCGTGATGCGCAGCTGGTCACTTGGGGATAGGGCAAGGAACAGAGGATCAAAGAAACTGCGGCTAAGCGCACCCACTGTGCCGCCGATGAGCAGGCCGCCCGCAACATCAGACGGCCAGTGCAGCGCAAGGTACACGCGGGACAGTGCGGCCGCTGCCGCGAATGTGGCAAAGGTGGCGTGCGCGAAGACTGGCAGCCCCAGGAGCCTCGGTGCGGTGCCTGACAATGCATCTACGAGCGCCTGTAGGCCACCTGGGCCCGTACTTGGCAGAACGGCAGAATCAGCGCCGCATGCACCAGTAGAGCTGGTGCCAGCGGCGGCTGTGGACGCGATGACCGCCCAGAGGCAGCTCACAAACCCCGAGTGGCCCGAGGGGAGGGCGTAGTCTTTGGACTGCACCGGGATGGGTAGATCCGCAGGCCGCACAGGAAGCGCCGTGCCAAACACCCACGATGGCCGCGGAACCCGTGTTGCCAGCTTGGCCACATGCAGAAAGCAGAGGTTGAGGGCCACCGCACGTCCCAGCGGACCAAACAGCAGGCTTGCACCCGTGCCAGCAGGGCCCAGGTTGAGCAGCGCTGCTGCGGCGCCAATGGCCAGGAGGACGGGCTCGAGGGTGGCGTAGTGCAGCACGATGGGCAGCCAGCGCAGGCTTTGAGGCCAGCCGGTCTGCAGTGGAGGGGGGAAAGGTTGAACAGGCATCAGCGCCAGGCGCGCACGTTTTTAAGAGTGCTGCAAGGATGTGGCCTGTTTGCGCCAACTGGCAGTGTCCCACTAATCCACACCCGCTCAATTGTCTTAGGTGCCAAACTTTGGCGCAAGTGATCAGCTAGTAGCACTGGTCCGGCCAAAGCCAATCACCCATACCCACCTGGAGGCGGGAGATCCATGCAATCTCAGTGCTCCTGTAGCCCTGCAGCTGTCTCGCCATGGCCCTCTTCTCCCAGATCCTCTTGTCAAACATATTGACGCCGCACACCGCCTTGCGCGCCAACCCCGCATTGGCGACCGCGTGCTGCAGGTGGGCTGCGGCAGCCTTGGGCAAAGAGGTCAGCGAGCTGGGCAGCTCTGGCAGAATAGTGAAAACCACCAGCCACCAGGGGTTGAAGGCGTACCTGCAGGGAGCAGGTCGCGGGCAGATGGGACTAAGCAACATCACAAAGGATGTCTCCTGCTGCTGAGGAGTGCAATGGCACCCTTGCCAAGCAGGATCGTATGCTGTGTCGCAAGGGTAGGCGAGCTGTGGTCCCAACCTACGCGGTGCGTCCCATTGGCACCGCCCCGTACTCACCAGATGAGGTCAGCAATGTTGCTGGACCCGAGGCCCCTGAGCTCGACAAAGGGCAGAGGGCTGATGACGTCCACGGCCACAGGACGAATCTGGGAGTGGTGGAAAGGAACGCGCACATATTTGAGAGGATGCCGGTGATGTCACAATCTCCACTTCCTGACCGAATGTCGAGCGCCCCTCCTTCCCAGCAAGGCTTGAGCATGTAGCCATTGCACACCTTCTCGTCCTTGGCGGCCACCTCAAACAGGCGTGGCTGGAACTCCACCACCCTGCCCACAGAGCAGGTGGTGCCCTGGGGGAACAGCACAAACGGCTGCACCTGCCCGGCCGCCTTGCGGGCGCGCCAACGGTTGAACGTGTCCGCCAGCTTCTCACCTACGGCAAGCAAGGCAGCGATGTGCAAAGGAATGGATGTGCTGTTTTGTTTTTCTGAACAACAAGTCGGCTCAAAGTAAGGAGGGTACGGCGGTGCTCGCTCGCAAGCAGTGCGTGTCAACTGCGTAAAGTTGGTGTTGCAATGG